CTCAGCGCCTGTAAATACATGCTTGTAGTTTGAATAAAGATTTGTTTCATGTGTTGTTGAATTGTATATGCATTTGTTTATTGTGTGATGGTTACTTTTATTTGTTCTTTTACTCATTTATTGATGTTTCTTATTGTTGTCAGTATATAAAATATAATTATTTAATGTATGCATTAATTCATTGCTTGACTGACAATTGAGATGTTCATGTGTATTCATGCATAATTCATATGACAAAACAAATTACATTTTGCTTGTTTTATTACATTATATCATTTTTAGTATATAAAAAAAGTAATATAATTAAGTATTGGTCAGCATTTAATATTATTTTGTTTAAGTTTTGGGGTGGGCTAACAATGCAATTCATTCTGAGGTAATATTAATTTTTAAGGAGCGATACTTACATTTTTCGAGTATAAAGTCAACAGTTTTCTCCAAAGGAGAGATCTTCGAGCAGCGGCCCGTCTCCTTGTGCAGACCTTAGAAAACGCAGAGGAAAACTGTTCTAGGTTGTGCTGTCGAGTTACTGATGTTATGAAGTGTTAGTGCACCTGTCGCTCATATAATTTAAACTTATAAACTTATTACATAAAGATCATGGAAAGATACCATAGTTGTATCTAACAATGAACAATCATAATGACAAAACAGAAAACATAAAGATCAATTGGTTTGTGTACATCATTATATGATATTTATACACAGGAAAAAAGAACAATAACAAGGCTAAATATCTTTAAATAGTTCTTCATAATACATTAAAAATTGTTTTGTTGTTATAAGTCTGAGGGATGAAACGAGAGGTAAATTCATCAAGAAAAGAGGAAAACTTAAAGGAGAAACTTTTTGGGTATAAAATAAAGAAATTAACAACATATTCAAGAGATGACGATTTTGGGGTTTCTTAAAAAAAATCATTATAAGGATAAAACTGTGGGTCACATTAGTAGGGTTTAAAATATAACAACTTAAATCAACCCTAAATGTATTCATAAAATAAATTGGCAGCTGTTTCTTCAACAATACCACAAAATGAGCAAGTTTCATCATTTCAAGATATTTACAGATAGATGAATTAAACGTGTCGTTCATCTTTTAAGTTGTTGCGCTTGTGAAAACGCGTCGTAGGTCACATGATAACGTCAACATGGCGTATGATGTCCGGATCGCATTCATACTCAACGAGATTTGGCTATAAAGTACCTTCTCTTTTAGCGGTGGTTAAGTAAGTACTCATTGAAATTAAGTACCTACTCTTTGAGTATGCGGTTTGGAACGCAGCCTAGATCGTCATGACCAGCGGCCATCTTGTCACAGGCAAGCTTTCTGGCAGGCTCTGTGGTACTTGATGTAAGATGAGTGATCAGCCAGACACAAATACTCTTATCTCGTTGAAATCTTGACGGATTTACAAACGGTTTGGTTTATTACAAACGTTTTTAACGTGGCTATAATTCTGGATGATTATTTATTTATACACTTATTTTTCATAAGTATGCAGTGTCATAACCAGTGTTGGGAACGTTACTTTAAAAAAGTAATTAGTTATTGTTACTCACTACTTGTTCCAAAAAGTAACTAAGTTAGTAACTCAATTACTCTATAATAAAAGTAACTCGTTACCAGGGAAAGTAACTATTTGCATTACTGTAAAAAAAAAAAGTTGCTATATGTCAAAGAAATTTGAATTTTTTTTGCAGTTTTCACAAGTCAGTTGAAATGAGTAGAACAGACAGGTGTTTGTACATAACTTTTTATATGTATTGCACGTTGACAGAAAGCAAGAGGTTTATCCTGCACTTCACTTCACTGCACTTATTAACCCACCTCCTCACTAGCTTTGTGAGCCAGGGGTGCGTTCGGATTACACAGTTTATTCAATCAATACATAGTAACGCACATAGGCTTCGATTTTGTCATGAGTCATTTTGTACCCACCACTTTTTGAAACAAATAAATAAAACATCTCCAGTTAACTAGCAGAGCATTCATTTAGTTCGCTATTAAATAAGAGATCTAGCGCTAAATTGTTTTGGTTTTGAACTCAAGCTGAGCGCTCGTTGCCGCTGCTATCAGTTGCATATACAGTTGTTCTCTTGTGGCTCGCACGCAGTCTTCACTCGGACGCGCTCTTCAATCTATCACCATTGTGGAGACTCTATTCAATCCGGTGAAATCACAAAATAAAATGCACACAAACGTTTCCCTGCTTGATATAGACTGTAACCACTTATGAACATATTCAGTTTTGATGAGAGAAAAAAAACTATACTAGCGTGGATTAGAACCCGTAACCTCTGACACGCTTGGCAAAATATCTACCACTAGACCATTTAAGAACTCAAACAACATTGGCGGATCGATGGATTTATTTACGGGTTGAGCAGAGAGGCAGCACAGTATGACAAGTTTGTACCCAGCACTTCTGAATATGCACTAACGAATGCGTCTCTATCCCCAGCACATTTCAAACCAAACTGACGCCCGTGGTAACGCACCGCATTTAACGTCCAGTAACGTTAACGGCGTTGTAACGACGGGAAAAGTAATTGGTTAGATTACCCCGGCGTTATTCCAAACACTGGTCATAACTACATCTCTGACGTTTATAACAAACCAAACCGTTTGAAAATCGGTAGAAAATTGAACAAGTTATGGTTATTTAAAAAGTACATGCACCATTAAAACACAATGTTACGAGTGAGCGAGCTGCCTGTGACCAGATGGCCGCCAGGTGCGGACCAGACATTCAGCCTTTATTATGGATATCTATGGCAGAGACTCTCTCATCTGCACAGAGACAAGCCAGTTAAACCTTTGGACAGCGCCCTCTTCTGGATTGAGTTTGTTATGAGACACAAAGGTGCCGCTCACCTCTGTACAGAGTCCTACAAACTGCCTTGGTACTCCCATTACCACTCAAATGGATCTATGAGTCTAAAATCTAACTTAACTAACTTTTCCCTCATGAACTCTCATTCCCTCATGTGATCTGTCATTCCCTCATTGCCCTCCAGATTCTGATTGTAGGCAGTTAAATGAGCAATGAGCCAAAGTAGGCTACTCTTTAATCAATAATTATTTTGTTTTATAATAAGCAAGTGTTCAAAGATATAGTTATGGTGTTGAGACGTAGTAGAAATTGTTTGATATCACTAGCAAATTTACATGCGAGTAAAAATATATATGTGCCATATAGATCATGTTACAAATGTAGCACCCGTACAACCACTCTGTGAGTTACTTACGTGAGAATGTAGGGTGCTTGGGTTTGATGTAGTTCAGGTGGATACCACGAAGGTGCACCTAATAAGTGTATAATGAGTTGTAAAACTTTTAACAATAAAATATTTAAAAATAATGAGACCCAGAGATGGTTGTTATTTTAGCAAAAAAAAATAGGGTCACGCCCTTGTTTAATTGATAACAGAACTTGGCAAATAAAATATAAAAGCTTTTCCGATCAGGTGCAGTGCGATTAACCAACAGCTCCGCCTAGCATTCGCCCACCGTGGCTAGCTATCTCGGCTCCCTCCGATCACGGCTCCCGCTCCTTCTCTCCCGCTCCGTCAGACGGGTCTCCGGCTTCGTTTCTCACTCTGTCTCTCGGCTCACAAACATCCCGAGTCCGCGGTCCTCTTCTCTGAGCCTCCCGCGCAGTTTCATCGGCGTTACCGGCACTTTCTAGCGTCTTATCTTTTCCTTCTCAACGTGTCAGCGTCCCGTGCTCCACACGACTACCACGAGGAAAAAACTTCCACCACTTCCTCACACATGTCTCTCCTCAGGTCACGTGTATATCTGCAGCCAAACACTATTGACTATACAGCGTGAATATAGCCTGGATGCCAGCCCGAACCCCGCCCACAACATTTTTTGGTCGGGAAGTTCGTTCTGGACTCGCTCCATTGAGGAGTAATTATGATTAGTCAAAAAATGTTCGGGCCAATCAAATTGCCAGGGCGGGCTTTATACGATGATGGACAGATGATCTGCTGGGACGTAATCATCACGTTATCAAAGAGCGCTTAACTGGTTTCCCTCAGAGATGACTGTCGCTGGAGAACTGAGATGTATAGATTCCGCTATCGCGTCTGTTGTAAAAGAAATCGACAGCGAATTCATTTTAAAAGACGAACAGAGAACTGCAATCAAGGCATTTGTCGATCGGAAAGATGTGTTTGCCGTCCTTCCTACGGAACTCGGCAAAAGTTGAATTTATCAGCTGGCTCCGATGGTCACTAAGAAGATGGGACGCAATGAAAACCCTGTGGTCGTTGTGGTTTCTCCTTTGGTCGCACTCATAGAGGACCAAGTAAAAGAAGCAACACTCGTTATTTTACTTCTTCCAGCGTGCGTGCATTTGAGTTCTGTAGTTGACAACTGTGCTATGCAAAGTAGTTGACTTACTGCGTTGCTCTCATTGGTTGTAGGTCTATCCAATTGAGTGCAGAGGTTTTTTTTCCTGGTTCGGTTAAGACACGCCTCATAATCAAAGTCCTATGGAGCAGTATCAGACTCACATTCTGACTAGAATATGAGTATGACGAAGTCAGGCTAGCGTGAATACCCAAATGACCAATAAAATTAGTAACATAAAAACAGTAAGAATAAAGTAATAAAAGGCTATCTGCATAAAACCTCTGGTAATATTATTTAGCTAAATAATATAAACTTTAAACTTTCGTTTTAATTACTATCATGAAATAAAATGACCAAATATCGATCTCCTTTTAATTATGTATAATGAATTTATATTTCCTTATTTAGAAATCAGGTGTCCCCTATTATTTATTTCAAAGTAAATAAACGTTTACTTTTTTAATAGTCATGTGACTCGTTTTTGAGAGTAAGAGAGATTAATCATAACCCACTGGGTTACCATTACACTATAATAGCCAAGTTTACCACTGGGCTACACTAATAAACTTTGCACTTTGGACTTTCTGTGGGCTGCTCACTACATTTCAAATGATAACGTTCGATAAGGCGTAATGCTAAAGTTGTTTGCTCATTTTCAGGAGTAATATGCCAAGATAAAGATATCGGCACCGAACAAAGAAGCATATGCCAGTCAATATATCCGTAAGTAATCTACAGTTTATGGATTAAAACAACAAGCTTTTTTAACAAAAGTGTGTTCATTCAAAGAAAAAAAGTGAAATTTCCATTATGTCAGGGATCATAGGTTTCTACATTTTCAAGAATTCATTCGACATTTTTCAAATAGTTTCCCTTATGAAAAAGTATACTTCAAAGTTTTTTTTATGAAGTATACATTTTATGAAGTATACTTAAGTAATGTTCAAGTATATTTTTAAGTATACTTTATGTAGTAAGTATACAATACCAATGTACTAGTAGTAAACTTGTAAGTGTACTATTTCAATATGGTTTGGGACTAAATTGGCTGACTTTTTGTATATAAAATACATTTAAGTGTACTTTAAGTGTTACAGTAGCAAACTTGCACGACTAGTTTACAACTATGTTTCTCATTTGTACTGTACTACAAGTATCTAGTATCAAGTATCAAGTATGTAGTACTATCTGTACTACAAGTGAACTTATAAGAATACTAGTAGTTTACTATTTTAATACTTGTAGTACTTTTTTAGTTTATGAAAGGACACTTTTAAGTATACTCTTAGTAAACTACTAGTTTAGTAGTTGTATCCTGCAATTATACTTATTTGTTTTCTTTAAGTGAACATACAATTATACTTAGTTTACTATACATATTATTGTTGCACTTTAAATATACTATGTTCCTATTAGGTATTAATGTTTTATACTTGAAATATACCTTTAACTGTACTTTAACTCTTTCCATAAAAAAAAAAAAAACATTTTATTATAGAATGTGGGTAAGTTTAAAAAAAATATATTTAGAAAAAAAATGTTTTTACCAAAGACTACATCCGGATGGGATTCGGAACAATGATCAAAACATAAATTAAGTAGATCGAGTCCATCAACTCTCCCACAGCTTCACAGTTGTTAACCCTTTCTGGGTTGACATTTCATTCGGTAACGTTAGGGAGTTTTGATTTAAATGCTGTTGTTTTACTTTTTTGCATAAGCAATATTCCATCACTTGATTCTGCTTCTCATTCCCCTGTGTTTTGATCCGGAGATTCTGTACTCTTTCAGAATATGCATAATAGCGCCCCCTATTGAAAATATGGTTATCTGAAAAATTCAGTCGGTGGCGGAGAAAGAGTAAAGTAGATTTGAAATAAATGTCTATATGTACACTAGCAGTGGACTAGCCTACACAACAATTCAGATACTCAGAATTAGGAAAATATCTGTTCCCTTTCTAAGGAACTTGCTCTGTGTCTATGACCCTTTGGGAACGCCCCCGCATGATTGCGTCTGAACTCAACTAGTCCAATGGCGAGAGTGAACGTCAGGGGTGGGTGACGTCACGACCAGGAAAGGATAAAAGCACATCCGGAATGACCGGCGTTAGCTTCTGTGCCTCAGCAAGCGCTCTGTTTTCATATTGTCCGTGTTTTGGAGATTTATGTAAGGGCTGTATTTGTGCTGGAACAGGTGGATTTGTATCCGCACTGGTGTGTCGGCAAGAACACATAAGACTCAGTTGAACCAGAGTTTTAAGTTTACTGATGATTCAGTTTGAATGGTAACAGTGAGTGGTCTGAAATATAAAAAAATAACAATAAATATTAGATATACAAATAAATCAATAACATTCACATATGCAATAATCCAGGTTACATTATTAAAGTTGTTGCAGTACTTAGTTTGTCCACAAGATGGCATTGAGAGCTCAGACATGGCATTAGATATGAAAGATATGTGTCCTTATAGGCAGTAATGGCAGAAAAAGAAACTACACATAATGTAATATATACACAAATATAAGTGAATAACAATATAAATCACCATCCAGAGATATTACTTACACTATAATGGTACTTAAGCATTAGTTATACATATCGCAAATGAACTTTGGCGGTTAGGTGCTAACACGGATTGCCGCGATGGAAAACCAATGAGCTTGTGATATATCAATAAAGTACACACATATGCTTTCTAGTGTTGGGTCCGAGTCCACCTTTGTCGAGTCCGAGTCGAGTCCAAGGCCTTAAGAAATCGAGTCCAAGTCCGAGTCCAAAGAGGGCCGAGTCGGACTTGAGTCCGAGTCCTTAAGCCCCGTTCACACTACACGCGACTTTTTCGCTGCAAGTCGCCAGTTGCTGGCGATGAGGTCGCTAGTGGGCGTTCCCACTACTGGTTGACTAGTATGACATCCAAAAGACAGCGAATCAGCTTTCTTGCCGCTATCACTGCAGGCCCAGGGGCTGAGGAGAAGGATCACGTGCGCTCCACTCCTATTGGTTGTCGCTCGCGAAAATCGCTCTTCATTTGCATAAAGTTACAAATTTCTCAACTTTGTCGCGTCGCCAGACACGCCCCATCTAGTCGCCAACGGTCGCTGTCGCGCGTGTCGCCGGAAGTCGCCCGCTCACCATTGAAAGGAATGGTATCGCGTCGCTTGGTCGTGTGTAGTGTGAACGGGGCTTTAAAGGGGTCATATAATGCCATTTTCATACAAGTTAATTTGATTCTTTAGGGTCTAAATGAAAAGTTTGTAATATACTTTAATTAAAAATTATCAATAGTATTGTAAGAAAACACTAATTTTACCTGGTCAAAAACAGCTCTGTTTTCAGCACGCCGTTTAAGTGCATGTGTCTTTAATGATAATGAGCTTCGCTCACTCCGCCCCTCTGTTCTGCGGGCGTTTTGACACAACACATGTGGAGTGTTGCCTTGACAACAGTTGAGGGTATATTTTGGAGAGAGAATGGCAGTGGGAGTCTCTGAGGACACATCTGTGCAATTGTATCAGTTTGAACCGGAGACGGACCCGGAACAAGATGACAGCCCCGAAGAAGTTCGACAATTAAGGCTCGAACAGGACGTTTCTGAATGGTTGCTTAACGTAATGTCACTTTAATCTATCTTTGTATGTACTGGCAGGGTAGAGTAGTGAGATACGAACGCTATGTGTTTACCGATGTAACTTATACGTACACAGTTTGTAATAACACAAAAACCATAACGCGTTGTTTATTATAAACGTGGGATTATGAATTATATTGAGAACGTCGTACATAGAAAGCATGCCGTAATGTACCCTGAGTGTAAACCTTAGCATGATTCATCGTGAAGCGTGCAAGCGATTTGCAAAGATTAATATAAAGGTTAATAAATCTTTACACTCACTTCTTCTGGAGGTGCAGCAGGAACATGAATAGTTGGTACCGATTATTTTTTCAGGAGCAGCTTCTTAGCAAAACCAGCTTATACTGACCCTCATTTATAAAGCAGTCTGGTGAGAAATGATCTGCGCCAACATGAATGCATTGACGTTGATCGTGGGGAATATTCCCTTCGAAAACAAAACTCAGCCACTGCGTCTTCAGTGGTTCTGATTTAGGAACATCAAAATGACTGCTGTGTTCGTTATTACACACAAGAACAGAACACCACTATCGCTTAGACGCCATTCTGCTTCAGTGTATCAACAATCGCGGACTATGATGACAGCTCCCTCAGGGTGGGTCTATGTTGAAACACTGCTGTCAATCAACAATCGTGGGAGGGGCAAACGGCTTGATTTGAGACAGGGGAAAAAATTAAAGGAGATTTAAAAAAAAAAAAAACACTGGATGGATTTTTATCATCATATGATGGTTGTGTACAGGCACTGCCAACACACATTTCAGTACAATCAACTTGAAAAAGTGCATGTACCATTATATGACCCCTTTAACGTCCGAGTCGGGTCCGGCCGAGTCCACAAAGATTTAAATGATTTGAAATTGACCTTTCACAAAGACCCGCCCCTCTTAGTTACTGTTGCTACGTCCGACACGCCATTCCGCTCTCACTCATGTTCTCACACAGTGAAAAATATATTGCGGAGCAAAGAGGACACTGACAATGCGCCAACATACCAGACAGAGCAGCCTACTTTTGGTATGAAATAAAGTGGTGCTTTAATGTGTAGGCCTCAGTTCAAGCAGCACGTTAACTAATAATCTCTTCTAGTTATAGCACGAATTAAACATGAATTAAAATCAGAACTGCAAAAAGAAATCACACATTTTTCAAGTTCAAGTCCACTGACTTTAATCTACTAACTGGTTTGGTTTGTTTGTCGGACAAAAATGGTGGGTATCTGCATTATGATTGGTCAGATCTCCTGTCAATCAAATTCTGGCGAAAGGTCTCAACACTGAGCTCTTAAATTAATATTGTAAACCTTACAAAATGATTGCAATGTATAGTCACAGTCATACGTTTACCTATTGTTCATCTTTCAGAATCTGCAAGGTAATGCTCAAGAATGCAACACAATGCATTAAGAGCCAGGGGTAAACTTTTGAGCAAGATGATGGTGGTTTAAATTTTTCTTATTTTGTTTTACATGCTAATATCTTTTTTAGCCTCTGAAGGGCAGGACTAAATTAATTCATGATTTAAAAAAAAAAAAAGAAGAACAATTTAAACCATCAAAGATGGATCTCACAATCATCATAGTCACTGCTAGTAAGGAGTCAAATATGCAGAAGATGCTGGAAAAGCAAAGAATGTGCAAGAGCTGGGAGTAGGGGGAGGCTGCAGACCTGGAGCCGGCAGATATACGCCCCTGGCAGTTTTACGCCCCGGCAGTTTTACGACCCTGTTGTTCCTGATACGTCCAGTAGAGGGACATACTGCGAAATAACATCATTAAATCGACGCTTAATAACCCGTCCATAGACTTGACAATTTTGTGTTTTTTGTTAATTTAAATATAAACGTTATAGTGTAGATCTGCACGGATTAAATTATCTGTTTAACAAAAAAACAAGGGGGGTAAATGGACATCAAAAGAGATTGAATTAGGTTACACAAATCAATGCAATATTACATTTTGTCAATATAAAAGCATGTAAGGTTCTTTACAACAGACTCAATGATATTATTTGTTTTATAAACCTTTGAGTTTAAAGGTTCTGACATTTTCTTAAAGGAAGAAAAAAAAAGAACTTTATAGAGCAGAG